ACTCAGTCCAGCGAAGTTTCGACAGGCAGATTCTCCGTCTAGAGGCAGCGGGCTATCCCGGTTCGTTGCTAGTTTCTGTGTGTGAGAAGCTGCGCAGACAATCAAGGGCCGGTAACGAGGGGGACGTTTTACAAGAAGCAACTCCCAAGAGGGTGGCGGTGATACCGTATCTACATGGTATCTCGCATAAACTCAAGAAAATAGGCCAGAGAGCGGGCGTGTCAGTGGTTTTTTCCGCACCGAATAAATTGTCAAAATTATCTGTCCAAACAAGCCCCGTAGGAACCACTACGAGTAGCTGCAAAATTAAGCACCGAAAGAAGTTTGTTGAGTGTGCAACAGGGATTGTTTATGGCGTACCTTTGTCTTGTGGACTTGAGTACGTCGGTCAGTCGGGCAGGTGCCTCAATGTAAGACTTCAAGAACATTGCCAGAAAGTAAGAAATGCAGGACGGGACGGTTTTTTGGCCGCTCATTGTTCCGAATGTGGATGCCAGCCTTTGTTCGAACAGACAAGGGTTCTCGCGTCCCACCCTAATGAAGGCACAAGACTTGTAATTGAAGCTGCAGCAATTGCTCGAGGTAGCTGTATCAGCAAACCATCGATAGCATTATCTGGGAAAGAATTGACGTTTTTAAATTCGGCACGTGAGGGCCCAGGGTGAGCACGTGATGTTTTTGCAATCTCTCTTTTCGCCTTTTGATTTTGTGTGTTGCTTATCTTCTTTCTAATATATATATGTGTGTCGTAGTAGTAATAAAATCAGTTGAAAGTCTGCGCTCGTCCTTGTCTCTTATGTTAGTTGTCTGAAGTTTTACGCGCCTAGAAGTTTTATATGTAGTATTTGATCATTTTAAAATAAAAATTGGCCCCGACGAAGGCGCCTCTACAAGAAAGTGCAAGAAAGGAAAGAAAAGGAAAATAAACCGGGGGATCAAAATTAGTTATGTAAACATGCAAGGCGGCCGCAAGCAGGAAAAATGGATTGAGATACAAACCCAACTCGAGAAAGAAGAAATTGACGTGTACGCCCTGACCGAAACCCACCTGAGAGATATGGAGGAGCCACAAGTGATGGATGATTACGGATGGGTGGGGTGCAACAGGGCAGCGGGAGAAAGGAAAGGTGGAGGCGTGGGCATGTTGATTAGGCGAGGAGGGAATTGGCAGAGGGAAAATCAGGGCTGTAAGTAGCACTTATGGGTTAGTGGAACGGTGGGGGGAAAAAAGACACGGTTGGGAGTGGCCTATCTGTGGACAGGGAATGACGCCGGAGAACAAAATAAAGAGTGGGTGGACTGCCTCAGGAAGGACATAAAAAAATTTAAAGAATCTGGCGAGGTGATATTAGTAGGAGATTTAAATGCCCACATTGAGGATCTAGATGGATATACAGACTATAACGGTGCAATGGTTATCGATATGTGTGAAGAACAGCAACTGGTAATAGTTAACCGGGAACATAAACGCGACGGGCCGATAACGTGGCAAAGCGGCAGTAGACAGTCTTGCATAGACTACGGCCTGGTCTCAGAGCACACGTACGAGCGGTTGAACCAAATGACGATAGATGAAGAAGGAGAAAACAGTCTGGGCAGCGACCACAGGCGTATAATCCTGAAATTTGACAGTGGGGGGGCTAGGAAGAAAACACAGGAGGTTGGGCTCCCGAAAGTAAGCGAAAAGCAGATAGCAGACATCGTCAATAGCATCGAAAGAGAATTAGAAGCACAGCCAACAAAGGTGTGGGAATATGACGAGGTTGTTAGTTGTATACAAAAGGAAATAAACAAAGTAAGGAAAAAAAACCGCTGGAGGGGTAAACGGAAACCACGAAGCTGGTGGAACAAGGAAATTAAACTGGCTATTGAAGAGCGACGACGGGCCTCTAGACTGCACAGAAAAGCAAAGCAAATGGGATATCAGGATGATGAGGTGCAGTTACGGTGGAGCCGGTACCGAGAAAAGAAATTTGAGGTGCAGAAACTAGTACAAGCGAAGATTAAAGCTGCGAGTGAGAAATGGGTATCAGACATACGTAAAAAGGATAAGAGCGCCCCCCCAAAATTCTGGAACCATTTAAAAGCATTGGGAACGATGACTAAAGAGATGCAGACTCAGATACAGGACGGGGACGGTAACGTTCTCCTGGGGGACAGCGCATTAGAATACCTACATGAAGTCATAGGAAATACTTTCGGCCAAGCACGCGAGAGGTCGGCTAACTGGACACAGGTGACAAATAAAAGAGTGGCAGATGAAAAATTTAATATCGAATTTTTGGACTGGAAAAAGGCAGAACACAGTGTTCCCAAAAGTACGGCAACAGGACCGGATGGAATCCCGATACAGATTATCAAACATTTGGGACCAGCGGGACAGGCGCACTTGTATGGAGCCATCGAGCGCGCTATAAAATCCAAGAGGATTCCTGCGCACTGGCGCGAAAGTAGAATGAGTTTGATCTACAAATGCAAGGGAGAAAGGGACAAGGCGAGCTCTTACAGACCGATTACTTGCATCTTGCCCCGTCGTAACTTGCATCTTGCCCCTCCATCAGTCAAATTACTAGCCTACAAAACACTAATTCGCCCAAAACTAGAGTACGCATCCGCCATTTGGGACCCATTCCAAATTAACCTAAGTAAGTCCATCGAACTAATTCAAAACCGAGCAGTTAGATTCATCTACTCAGATTACTCGTATCATACCAGTGTTACCACCCTTAAAAGAATAGCAGATCTACCTAACCTTGACCTACGCCGTAAGGTTTCCAGACTATCCTTGTATCACAAAATGTATCATACGTTTCATTACAACTGTCCCATTCAATCAGCTCATCGTACTTCAGCCCGCACAAGCCACCACAAGGCCGTGTACCAACCTCCTGCATGTACCACAGCCCACCATCACTCCTTCTTCGCTCAAGCAGCCAGGGACTGGAACGATCTTCCCCCAAGTGTCATCCATCATAGCAACACGGATAGATTTAAAAATGCCATAGAATCATTGTTTTATTAACTCTATATTGTTTGCCCACACCCTCATGTAAAGCCTCCTGTTGGGTGGCCTTTGAGGTATATTAAATAAATAAATAAATAAATAAATAAATTACAGTCACGTCAGTGCTCTATAGATTAGCTATACAAGCCATCAAAGCCGAGTTGTTGAAGTGGGTTGAAAGTAACGGTATTTTAGGGGAACTGCAAAATAGATTTAGGCCGGGTCGACGCTTGGAAGACAATCTTTTCATCATAACCCAGACCATCGAAATTTCGGCAGCACAGGGCAGACTAACATGGCTACTGTTTCTGGACATAAAGGGTGCCTATGACAACGTGGACAGGGGATTGCTGTGGCATACACTGGAAGAGGAGGGGATTGGGTCGGAATTTGTAGGGCTGCTAAGGAATAACAAGGCACACATTACATGGGAAGGGCGTACATACACAGAGCCCGTGTACATTCGAAGAGGTTTAAAACAGGGGTGCCCTCTTTCGCCATTGCTGTTCACACTGTACATTAGAGGAATGGAAAAACGACTAGAGGAGAGTGTATTGGGCTTTGATTTGTCACACCGAAGCAATGGAGTGTTAGTGGAGCAACGGATTCCGGGATTGATGTACGCAGACGATATAGTGCTGTTGGCGGATAGTGCGGAAGAACTTCAAAAACTGGCTGACATTTGTGGGGATGAGGCAACGTACCTAGGCCTACATTTTAACCCACAGAGTCTCATGGTGTTCAACGAGGAAGCTCATGTAGCACCAATAAGGATACAACAGGAAGCCATACCATTAGTAAATAAGTACAAATACTTGGGGATCTGGCTTAATAAAGGAAAAGGCTACCTGAATGCTCATGAAGAACACCTCAAACTGAAAGGGAGACGAAATGCAGCAGTAATGAAGCATAGAGCACTTTGGGGACACAATAAGTACGAGGTAGTACGAGGCATCTGGAAAGGGGTAATGGTGCCGGCGCTCATGTTCTCTAATGCCGTATTATGCTTAAAGTCAGATATCCTGTCGGGGCTGGAGGTTAACCAAAAGGCAGTCGGCAGGTTAGCTCTGGGAGCTCACAGTAAGACTACAAACGAGGCTGTACAAGGCGATATGGGTTGGGCTTCATTTGAGGCGAGGAAAGCACAAAGTAAAATACGGTTTGAGGAGCGACTTAGACATTTAGATGAGAAGAACTGGGCAGCCAGAGTGCACAGATACCTGTACCTGAAAAGTGTGGACACCCAATGGCGGAAGAGGACGCGAAAGCTGGCGACTAAATATAACTTGACCGCGGCAAATAAGCAAAGGGGGCCAGTTAAAAAGCAATTGAGGGAAACAGAGACGCTCATGTGGAAAGAGAGGATGGAAAGGAAGGGATCGCTGGGAATCTACAAGGCAAGCAAACAAGAGATCCGGAAAGAGAACTTTTATGACAACAATAAGGGTAGTGCGTTGCTCTTTGAGGCGCGGGCTGGCTGCTTGGGAACTCTAACTTACAGGAGCAAATATTCGTCACAGGATGAGACATGTGTTGGATGTGGCATAAATAAAGAAACAATCGACCACATAGTCATGGAATGCCAAAAGATTCAGCCGGATAGAAATGGGGGGAAGGTCACACTTCCTGAGGCGCTGGGCTTCGCGGTTGATGGAAGCATTAACTGGTCAGCAGTAGGTATTACTAAGCAGCGGCTGGAGTATTGGTGGAGGAAAAGCAGAGAAGTCGATAAAATAACATCCCAGCCAAGAGTGGCGGCTGGGCAAAATTAAAAAGACATCCGAGTTGAGGGACAAAATTTAAACTCGAACTATTAAGGTAGGCTAGATGGCGCATGCCGTCACCCCGATTCAAAGGGGAGGCCTTTAATCATTATCATCATCATCAGCAGCAATAGCGCGAGTGGCGAGAGCGGTTCCACTCTGGGTGTTTGAAGCAGAAACGCACCGCGGTTGATTTTTTCGCCCCCTACAGGGGAGCACTTGAACTTGAGAATGTCCGGGGCCGATAAGTGATCGGATAAGTTAGTTCACAACGCCACCGCTACCCTTATTTTCGTTGCAATGTCAAATGTACTTACAGTTTCCCTTCTCTAAGTGGTAGTGTGTTCTGTGCTCTGGTCGCATACATCATAGAGAAACATACGTTGGAGACGCGGTGGTTACATTCATTACAGAACTCTCGGTACAGTTAGAGGTGCGCTTTTCGTTCCCGGAAAGCTGGAAACTCTCTGCTATCGTGGTATCGCTGGTATGATAGTGGTGGTTTGCGATAAACGAAGCGCGTACTACAAGGACAGCTGCACGACACTGTACTCGGCTGCCGCAACGTGTGAAGACCTTGACCGCCTACAATGACAACATTGGTGAGTGCGTCGAAACCGTTATTGTAGGGAGTTGACAAGTAGAGCACGCTGCATTTTAAGTGGCACCTTTCCCAACTGGTGCTTCGTCGGCTGCGTGTGTTCTGGAGGTCGTGGTAAAAATGTTTCCTACCCTTTCGATGTCCTCTTCCTCGAAGTGTAGCGCTGCAAAGCGAACCCGTACTGATATAGTAATAAATACCGCTAATTGTCGCGATTGTTGCAAAGCTCCGTACTTAACTAATTAAAAAAAAACTTACCACGTAAAGTTCAAATGCGTCATGAATTGTGTCTGTTATCGTTTGGTGGCACACAGTGCAACTATAGAGAGAGAGAGAACTCTATTGAAATACAGAGAATTTAGCCGGCATGTAAAATTCGCTGACTTGCTACTCTGCGTGGGGAAGGGAATTGAGGATTGAAAGCACAAATAAGGAGAGAGAGAGAAAAAAAAAAAAACTAGAAACCACATGAACATAATTGCTTTCTTGCAGCACCTTCACGTGCACTGGTTTGTTGAGACGAGGAAGGGACTGACAGTAATACAAGTTCTAGCGAATGCATAATTTGCGAGACACTTTCTTGGGTTCTTTTAACTAACGCCAAGACGACTTAAGGAAAAACCTATGTGGCATCCTTTAGGGTTGGCATTGTCTTTGAAGTGTTTAGTTAACATCACCACTTCTTTTGCATGCTTATTTGAAGTGAATGTGGTGAGCCGCGCAGAGCTCAGAAATGAATCCATTCAGCCGCCTTGATCGACGAACTGCTTCATCACCTCAGGTCTCGTCAACATGAAGAAAGGAGCATGCAGTGCGCTTTCATAAAACTGTGTGGTTAGAGTTATGTCCAGACGTAACTACTATAGCCAGCGCTATTGTTACGTCCACCTGTTAGACATAACTATAGCCACCACTTGCGCTACGCCCACGGTACTACGGTGACGCTTGCATCTGCTATGGTAACGTTTGGCACTGCCACTCGCAGAATTAAGTGGTCATGCACTCAGTTACACTGTCGTATCACCGAATTACCGGTGTCACTAGAGCGTTGAAACCCACGTCATTTATTGTTCCGGACTTTTTCGCGTATCAGCAGCTCTGTTGAAACAAACTAGCTGATGAACTCGTGGAAGACGTTGCCGGAGCCAGTCTGCCTGCTGCCTTTTCGTTAGCTTCCTTGAAACGGTCAAGAGCAATTATAATGGAATCCTGCCCACACCGCGGTTAGTGGTAAACTGCAGCTTTTAACCGGATGCAAGTACGGTTTGCGTGCCCTTGCTGGATGGATGGATGGATGGTAAAACTTTATTTTGTCAGAAAGCAACTGCGGATGATTCTGTGTTAGATGGCCATCAACCGAAGGTTGGCGGCGACCTGTGTGGCCCACTCCACGACCCTTAACTGGACGACTGGGTCTGAGCTGGTCAACACGAGCTCCCAGTGCTCAAGAAAGAGATCACACATAATATCCACCGGCGGCGGCACTACGCTAGATTTCCAAAGTATGTGATCATATGTTGCCACAGCCTGACACCATTTGCATTGCGGCTTAATCTCCTCCGGGTATATTGCCCCGCCGCGGTGGTCTAGTGGCTAAGGTACTCGGCTGCTGACCCGCAGGTCACGGGATCGAATCCCGGCTGTGGCGGCTGCATTTCCGATGGAGGCGGAAATGTTGTAGGCCCGTGTGCTCAGATTTGGGTGCACAATAAAGAACCCCAGGTGGTAGAAATTTCCGGAGCCCTCCACTAGGGCGTCTCTCATAATCATATGGTGGTTTTGGCACGTTAAACCCCACATATCAATCAATCAATCCTCCGGGTATATATTGTTCAACACGAAAGGGTTGGGAAAAAGATCGCACCTGCAGTTTTCTCCAGACGCATTCCTGCGCCTTAGTCAACCGCTTGTGCAGGGGCGGATAAAACCTCCGCTCTAGTTTATATTAAGTTCTTACGGTAAGTTCATACGGTAAGTAGGTCCATCTGTCCCGTGTCTCGATATGTAAATGTCTCATCTGAAAACCTCTTTCCCCCTAGTTATAATGACGCAGCCCGTGCAGCCTACTTATAGAGCATTGTTAGTACACTCTATTATTGCCACCGTTAGCCGCAAGATCAGGCTACAGATGGCAGCACCATTGCGGCGTTCAGAGCGTAGTATGTGCGATGCGGTCGCCGATTGGCAGTGCGTATTCAAATGTACTGTACTAAGTAGGCACCACTGCTTCACCCTGAGTGGTTTGGGCCGATTGTTCTCAAAGAAAGCAGGTTGACTACAGCCCAATACGGGTATATACGCCCTTCATTGCCCCTTTAATGTACAAAGCCGGCCTAACTTTTCTATTATTTTATTTATGTATGGACATAATTTTAACGGCTTCTATCGTAACGTCTAAATGTAGCTTTTGTAAAAGGTGAAAGGTACGTCCAGTCATAACGATCAGCTGCTGAAGTTACGTCCGTCGCGTGGTTCACAATATGCACTTGAGTTTGATAATCATTTGGCCGGTCTCAGTGGTTGGATCGTGTGTTACTGGGGTATTGTCGCTTGGCAGTGTGCTTTCGTCGCCAAAACACACGATTTTGTTTCAGCAAAACAGTACGGCACTACAGCAACGCATTTTGGCGCGTCCGCCGCTGTCAGCCGGTCTGAGAACTGGCTAACCCCCCTGTCCTTCCTTTCTTCCTCCGCCGCTGCCACGAAGGTTATTTCCTTTAAGGAAATAAATATATAAGCAGTGCCTTTGGAACATTAATGCTTTAATGTTAAAGCAATACTTGCAGAAAAAAAAACGCGATCAGGCTCAGACCAATGATCTCACACGTACTACATGCATTGCGCTAGCCAACAATGCCACAGCTGCTAATCGGTTAGTAGTTTTTTTTTGTATTGTTGTCTACAACTTTAACATTCCTTATTTTTATGTCTGAACGGCTTTTATCGCTACGCCTAGACGTAGCTTTTGTGGAAGGTGAAATTTACGTCCTGCCGTAATGATAATCGGTTGCTCAAGTTGCGTTAATTTTTGTGGTTCACAATGTGCACTTGAGTTCGATAATAATTTGGTCACTCTCAGAGGTTGGCTCGTGTGTCACTGGGATATTGTCACTTGGCGGTGGGCTTTCGTCGCCAACATGCACTATTTTGCTACAGCAAAACAGCACGGCTCTGCAGCAGCGCGGTTTTGCACGTCCGCCGCTGCCACGAAAGCTGTTTCCTTTAAAAAAAAATTATATAAGCAGGGCCCTTGGAACAATAATGCTGCAATGTTAACACACTTGTGCAAAAAAAAAAAAAGAAAAAAAAGGAACACTGTTAACATGTGTTGGTTTGGTGGGTTTAACAAGCCAGATTTGCATTGTTGTCACGCTGGACGTAACTTCAAGATTTCTTATTCTTAACGGCTTCTATCGTCAAGTCTATACGTATCGCTAGACTCTCCATTAAAAAAAAAAAAACATGCATGCTTTGTGGTGATAGTCAGGAGATTATTCGTGCAGCTTGAGCCAACCTTTTTATTATTTGGTCTTTTGGACAATTTCGCGATTCTTGCAGAGCTCATAGAATCCCTGCCGAACTGTTCTGCTCGTTGTACTTGTTCTGAATACTCTCATTTCACTAGCGTCACTGCCTTGAAAGCTCGTGCTGGTCTTTTTAAACTTTCCCATTGTCAAAAACTTGCTCACTTATATCTTTTTTTCATAAAATCTATCATCATCCATTGCTTCATAAGGATTTTTTTCAGTCACCCTTAGCAATCTTTCCTCAGCGCGATCATCCTCTGAAGGTCATATGCATAACATGCCATACCTCATCATTCACTAATTCATTCTCACCAAAAACAATCATTGAATGGAACGAGCTGTCTCGAACTACCGTGATAGAACGGAACATTTCAACATTTAAGGAACTTTTAAAAATTTATGACGAAGTTTAGCATTTCGTGCTGGTTTCATTAACTCGTTTCTTTTTGTGGTCTATCATCATGTAATTCCGTTATTTTTCATTGCATGTTTAGTTGTTTCTTTTTCTATATTTCCAACAGACATGGGGTTATTGTGTTGCTCTTTTCATATGCATATGTTATATTTCTTGTTTGCAAAATTTTTATGCTTGATGTGTATTCATTGCACAAGATTTTTTTACCCCACCCCCCTATGTAATACCCTCCCAGTGCAGAAACCCTTTAGGAGTTTCTTAAATAAATATATAAATTTATATTGATGCTAGCTATGCTGTTTTTTTTAACTTCGAGAGCTATGCTGTCTTTTTTTAACTTCGAGAGATGTAAGAGACATGAGTGTGGATGTTTTTCCCCAATTTCGATGTTCCTTGAGCAATCCAGAGTTGTGAAGCAGCGTTCTCCCTAAGCCATCACTCAATGCTTCTAATGGCAATGGCAGAGCAGCTGTTGTTAGAAAATAAGACTGCCACTTGTCTGCCCTGGCAGAAATGCAGTCTCGAATTAGCCGTATTATCCTGCTCACGTGTGCAGCCATTGTTCAGCTTGATATGGTGGACAATGGATAATGTATCATGCCACTTGATATAGGGGTTGAGTTCTTTTTCATTGTGCAATGGTGAACTTTGAAATTCTGAAGCATGCCTAGAGCTAGACATGTTGCATGGAAATTTTTGTACAGTAAATACTTCTTGAGACTCGTTTCACAGGAGGAGTAAGTTGGTGAACACTCGACTTCAGACAGGCATAGAAAGACTGTTTTATGCCAGATGGGTGTTTTAGCTAGCTGAACAATTAGTTCTTCTTTAAAGGAACACTGAAGAGGTTTTGAATTCGCAAATTTGTTGTGAATTTGGTATTCGTGACGTCTTTCAGCATGTCTACGGAGGTTTTTTTTTGCGAGGTTTGATTAAACATTGACGCTATGAGCGAGCAAACTTCGACCGAAGGAACGCCCGCCGGCACGCGCAGGGCGCAGCACGGAAGAGATAGACACGTGGGGAGGTGACGTGACCTTCAGGGTCGAGCCGCTGCCA